CATAGGTGCGCGCGGATCCCAAAGCTTACGGTCTCCGTCCCCGGTTATGGCTCCTAGCAGAGCACAATATTTTATTATTCCCGTGCTCCCGGCCCTAAGCTCATTTCAAGTGACAACGCGCTGCTGCGAGCATAACCATAAGCACAAGCATCGTCCGCCGTCGTGCTTTACTGTATCGAGGAGGTATGGTTATACGGTTACTAATGCCCTGAAGATAACCACAACTTGTGCCCCAATGATTTGGCCATTTGTGTGTTACGGCCCGACTAACGTAACATCGATCGTTTGATTAAGAGTGGTAGCATTGATTCATCAAAGTATAACCAGTCACCGTACATGTTTCTTTTCGTGGTTTAATTCTCACATAAATTTTCCACATTAAGAACACCACGTGTTGCAAATAAAAGTCCACTAATGGCGTTCACTAAACATATTTAGCATGCAGACAGGTGTATAAACAAAACGCCTATTCTAACAACATAAATTTAAGTGTTTCTTTGAAACTTACACCTGTCATCTTTAAAATTAAACGTTGATATCTGTTTTTGGAATTTTTTCCGACATTTAAGTTTGGGTTAGCCATTAATGTGATAGCACTGCTGTAACATCACTTGATAAAGAGTGGTAGTATCAGTCCATCGAAGTATAACTGTTGGAAATGGTTACCAGCCATTTTAAATTTTTTCTTTCATGGCTTAATCATCTTATGTATTCCAAAATATGAACATCGTATGCTGCCTATAAACCTAAAGAACCAGTCAATGTCGAAGGTGTTGATATTATTTTTTTTGACATGGAGACAGAAACATCAGCAAAACGCCCATTCTAACAAAATCAATTAGTTTTCCTCAAAATTAAAAACAGCGGCTGCGAAAGTCGGATCCTCTCAAAACATACTGACTGGGTTTTTTACTGGAGTTACAACTCAACACTGCAATGGGAGCTTAGGGTAAGATAGCCATGTTTAACGTAATTTCTACTGAGTTATTTAAATTTAAAAATTATATTGTATGTCAGGCAACTAGAAATATGTACTTCTCCAAAATGTAAAATATTTCGTGAATTTATAAAAAAAAATTAAAAAAAATTCTTTTTTTCGTGAATTTATGAAAATCGGCTGAGCTCTCTAAGCTACCACAGTTCAATTCAAAATAAATCATATACACTCCTTTCAAAGTAGTTCGTAAGATAACCAACTTGGTACTTTTCAAAGGAGGAGTTTATTTCTTACTCTTTTTCTCCTGAAGATTGAAGACAAAAGGAAGAACCACAAACAGATCTAATTAAAAACATTATTTACATCCCGCGGCGCTCGTTTTACAAAAAGAAAGCTTTTCACTATTAATTCAGATTTGAAAAATCGGCAATTAAACATTGCCGAGGGATCTTTAACTCTCCAATAAAATATTTATGTTAGGTTTCAACGTAATAGTTTTACTGCAGCTGATGCAAGCTGCTTATGCTAACAGGCTTTCTTTCAGTAAGTTACTAGCTGATGATTCTGTCATCTGTTCATAGCGGGAGTTGATAAAAATGTATTTTAATACTAGTGCTGTATGTGCTGTATATTTTATAATAATATTATTTTCTAATTTATCGCATAGAAGTCTATCACTTCTTTTTCGCGACTTAAAAATTGTGGAAGAAGAAAAGGGAAAGTGACACTGCAGAAAGGTTGGTGTAACAAAATAAATTTAAATAATGCTGACTTTCACGTTACCATGCAATAACAAAACAATCAAGGCCAATGAGAAAGACGAATAATTTCACTAAATTGAAGAACTGTTGACCATTTTCCTAATTGTGATATGAAAAAGGATCGAATACCACGCATAAGGTGTGTAACTGAAAACAAAGAGGAACAACGTACAAGATAGTTCGAACTAATCACTCCCCCATTCAAGTCAAAGACTTAATTAGAGCGGCCTTCTCTAAATATCACCTGGGGGGGGGGGGGGG